CAAAATAATTCAAATAATTCAAATAATTCAAATAATTTAATTATTTGAATTATTTGAATTCTCGGGCCTCCAAAATAATTAAAATAATTCAAATAATTCAAATAATTGAATTATTTAAATTATTTGAATTATTTGAATTATTTAATATATTTATATATTCGCTAATTTAAACAGGACGTCAAATAGACCCTAAAGGTATCTCGATCATGTATATATATATACATATCCATACATATATATATATATATTATGGTAGCCCCCCAAGATCTATGCCTAACCTGTTTTAGCTTCATGAAAACATGTTATATCAAGCCAAAAACATTGTAAGCAGCGATGGTTTTTACATTATTTTAAAAAAGTTCTTATATGGTCACGAGGAATCTTCAAGTCTGCTATATGCAAATTCTGGAAAGCAGAATCGAGTGACCGACTTCATAAAAAGGAAAAGTCCTGTCAAAAACGAGAAATCCGGGCGCTGAGGATTTCTGTGTTATTTCTAATTAGATTTTGAAAGGAGTTCATATACAGGAACCCTCCAGGAATTGATGATTTGCGTTTCATTTCTAATTTGATTTTAGAAGGAGGTCATATAGAGGAAATACTGCTCCTAAATTTCAGGTTTCCAAACCAAAAAATGCACTGCAAAAGTGTTGTACTATTTGTGATTTTTTACTTTTCATTGAAAAGTGATGTGATGTACCTAAATAACCATTAAAAAAAACCTATTCTCCAAAGCCCTTCAAAGGCTTCAAATCCACCAGGGAATCACCTTCCCACAACATCTTGGTGCTCAATTGGGTCGGACACGAGATTTTGAGTTCTGTGTCACTGCAAGAAACACGATTTCTTTGCACCACCTCTTGATAATAGAGCCGTGTAAAGAGAAATGCAGTAACTCCAGAAAGTAAGCATTTCTAGCAGCAAGCCCAACAGAACACTCCCATGTCCAAGGCCGGTAGACATTAGGCAATGCAACCATCAAGAAGCAGACCGAGCTTTCCGCATGTGGACCTGGGTATGCCTGAAAGAACGGGATAACATCCTGCAATCTTGGACTCCGCGATGTCTCCATTTGCTTCAGTGCAAAAATGCGGAGCATTCTGAGCAAAGTCAAAGCCATGTCATTGATGGCACCTACTCTAATCCGCAAACCTAAACTTTAAAATCTATGCCTCAAGCCCCCAAATCTCAAAACCATAATCCTAAGCCCTAATTACATGTTCATGAAGCTGGCCAGGGGCAGCATATGCCATAGTATCCTGATTTCCAGCATAAGGCCATGCCTTCTGCTCAGACTTATTGATACTTTTTTTGGCTGCTTTGAATGAATGACTAAGTCCCACCAAGTAGAGACAGTAGGCAAAGCCATTTATATGGGGGTCTCCCGGTACACAGCCCAAGATGATGCAGCCTCATGATCTGGACCTTCCAACCTGGAAAGCCCAATGTATTCAGTGGGCCCTGCAAAGCCGCTTTACTTCTTCTCATGATATTTATGCTGTGTAGAAGGTTCCTGAGTTGTTTCCTGCACTTCATGATTGCTAGGCGTGCTGACGTATATGCAGAGAGGCCGGCAAGGTGAGCTTCATCAAATAGGTCGCCAGATTTTGATTAGATTTCGAAACGATTTTACATAGATTTTGATGGGTCTTACTTTGATTTTACTCGACCTTACTCAGCATTGGAATTTGGCCTAATTATGTTTGTAAGTGGGTGAAGTGGGTTTCAGTTAGATTTACATCAATTTTAATTAGTTTTCGATGGGTCTTAATGAGAATCTTACTTTATTTGAATTACATGTTGATCGATCTTAAGTTGATTTTGATCGATTTTTATTATCAAAACAATTTTTATTTTCTGTCACTTTCCCTGCTTTTGTTTTCTAGAACACTCCAGGCACGGATCTTGGGGGGCAGCATACGTATACATATATATAGATTTCAAAAGGGACCAAGTCCCAGGGGTCAATACTTCAAAGGATACAGAAGAAGTCCGAGGTTAGAACACAGACACCCTAAGCTAAGCCCTAAGACCTTTGCAGCCCTTTGACACCGGGCGCTGGTGCTCTGCCAACCTGTAATCTGTTGCTTTTCACACCATTAAGGTATGACCTTTCATAGGCTGCAGGGCTTGACTGTTTCCCTGCACTGGTTTGTGCTTACAGGCTCTGAACCCTTGGGCTTGGCCTAAGTGAGTGTTTATGCCACTGCACGGGCCCCCTTTCCTTCATTATGAACTCGGCAAGGTTTCCCGGTCTTCAGTTACTGCTGTCCCTAAGCCCTAAACCCTAAACCCCAAACCCTGTCTCTTGAGGTACTGCTAGATGCCAAACTTGGAGGGTCTTTGAACCTATTTTTTGGGTTCCGGTTCCATAGCAACGGCGGGCCGGTTTTGTTTTGGGTGGAAATGACACACCTCTAAATGGTCTATGGACTTCCAGGCTTGTAAGCCACAATTTGTTCTCTGTGGACTTGTTATGGTGGCTAGTGTCACTAGGACATGATGTATGTTTTGTTTCTCAGCATCTGGATGGAT